TCAAATGTCCTCTAAGCAGCATGGGGTACGCTTGGCAAGGAAATTTCGATGCGTCATTCCTACTTGGTAATGGCCCTCAGCAGACACCCTCTGCCCAGCCGCGTGGGGTGAGATCCGCATCCTGCTCCTGCTGCCAGGGCCCAGGCTGGAGACCCTTGGGGCCTCCCTCCCTGGACAGCACCAACACCCTCAGGTGCATGCGAGAAACCCCAGGGGCAGGAGTGTGGGAGGCCATCCCACAGTCACCTCTCGGGCTGGGTGATAGGCGCCTAGACACAGCGGTGCCGGAGCCTTCCCCACCCTTCTCCAGGTCCAGGGGTGTCCGTGCAGAGGCGTGCCTGGACACTGCCCCAAAGACCCAATCGTCGCCCCTGACCTTGGGGTGCTGCCCCCCTTAACCTTCATTGGATGGGATTTTCCCTGGAATTTTTTGTTCCCCAATAAAAGCCCACTCCCTGGCGTGCGCTTGTGCTCTCCCTCCCTCCCTCCCCCTCTCTCTCTCTCTCTCTCTCTCTCTCTCTCTCTCTCTCTCTCTCTGGCCTCTTCTGTGAACCTTGCCATGGCGTTAGGTGGCTGGAGGCGGGAGCTAGGAGGAGCTGTCCTGGAGCTGGTTAAAGGTCATGAGAGTCTGTCTCTTTGATTTAACTCACTAGCAGTTTCTCAGGATTCCAACCTTCTCTCATGAAGCCAGCACAGGTCGCGGGCTAAAAGGAGGACCCTGGCAGGACGTGGAGGAGCCCCACAGTGTCCCCACCCCAGCCAGGCCCTCTGCAGCCCCGGCACCCCGGACCTGCACATCCCTGCTATGGCCACCCTGCGGCCTGGCCCTGGGCCTAGCTCCCCTCCACGTGGGCCACTCCCCATGCTGCTTCGGCTGTACCAAGAGTGGTCATCGGAAATCCAATGTCATTGTCAGACAGCCCTGCTGCCCGACAGGGGTGGAGGGCAAGCCACACCTCTTTGGGTCGGCCTGGGGTTTCTCATTTTAACTGGGCCTCAGGCAGGCCTAGATGGCCAACAGTGTTGAGAGCCACAGCCACGTCAGGATGGCGCCTGGCATTTTGCCAGAAGGGGTGGTTGAGGGGTAGCGCCCGCGAGCCATTGGGGTGATGATGGTTAAGTTAAGCTGTGTCTAATTACTGGGATGGTGGCTGATTGCTGTGACTGGGTGATGCTGGATTGGGGCAAGCCGTGTATTCAGTTGTGTATGTGGACTTCTGCTGTCCGGCAGTGGGGCTCCTGCTGCCTTGGGTGCCCGCTACTTTTGAGTTCTCGCGGAGTTCCCGTTGAGTGCCCATGGAGTTCCCATTGTAACTTCTCCCCTGATAGCCCTTCCTTCTCTAAACTTTCTTCCCCTGTCTAACTCGAGAGACTCCCTCTTTTACTTGATATAGGATGTCTTCTCCTAGACTAAGCAAACAAGATTGTACCAACGTCCACAATGGCAATGTGCCAGCTGGCAGAGTTCCTGGGCTTTCCTTTTCTACCCTTTTTAAATCTTCACCATGACGGTTCCATTGTGATATATTTAACAGCCCTCTTTAATGAACCATGGGCTACACTTTGTACCGTCTTATCGTCTGCCCTGACTGTTCTTGACTTTACTGAGATGCCTCCTTCCTCTAGCAATTTACTTAACACCCTTTCGGTTTGGTTTCACTAATTTTTAGTTCCATATTTCTGCTATAAAGATAACGAAACCCAACAAGATAACACAAAACAAACCGAAACAAATGAAACAAAAACGGAACAAAAATTCGCTGTATCAGTTTTCCTATTTTCTTGACATGTGTGTCCGTGGTCTATCTCTGTCTCTTCCTCAGGGCCCAACAACTTCAAACCCTGAGCCAACCACTTTCCCCAGTTTGCCCGAGGAAGTTCTAGGGACAGGCAGCTTGAAACTGAAACAAGAACACATTGTTTTCTGAAATGGTCACCCATTCTCTCGCCTTCCCCCAGGGGCGAGCAATTTCACTTCCCCCAAGCTTCAGGCGTTACCCTGCACGGACCACCAAATGCTGCAGTCTGGCTGGGCACGAATAACCAGGAGGTCACGGGCCACTTGTAGATTCAAGCAGGAACGAACTTTATTCCAGAACCCACAGGAATCCCACGGGAACTCAGGGAACTCTGCGGGAACTCTGCGAGAACTCAAAAGTAGTGGGCACCGAGGCAGCAGGAGCCGCCTTATTGCTGGACAGCAGAGGTTTATATACTCAACTGAATACACGGCTTGCCCCAATCCAGCATCACCCAGTTACAGCAATCAGTCACCATCCCAGTAATTACACACAGCTTAACGTAACCATCATCACTCCAATGGCTCGCTGGCGCTACCCCTCAACCACTCCTTCTGGCAAAATGCCAGGCGCCATCCTGACTTGGTTGTGGCTCTCAACACAACAGGAGAGGGACAAGAGGAGGAAGAGCAGAGGAGGTGGGGCTGTGAGGCAGGCGGGCTTGGGGCAGGGAGCAGACTGCAGGGCAGGGGTCAGTCCTCTTGGGGCTGAAACCCAGAAATGCCTTCAGAGGTGGGGCTGCCACACAGAGAGCAGGGGAGTCCCCCAGCACCCTCAGAACCCACCTCCACACCTGTGATGGTGGATTCATGTGCCACTTGGAGGGTACTGGTGAGTACGGTTAATTTGTAGATCTGTGCACTTTGTAAGTAGATCGGTGGGCCTCGCCCAATCAGCTGAAGGCTTGACTGGAACAAGAAGGGGGTTCTCCAGCCAACAGCCTCCGCACATCTGTGCCGTCCCGTCTCCTGGTCTCCTGCTGCCAGTCCACACGACAGTTGGCTCCCAGCGGCCTCCATGACCACGAGGGCCGATTGCTTGATAAATCTCTCCACACAGCCAGTGGCTGTTCCTTGAGAGTTCGGCTGTGATGGGTTCAAGACCCAAACAGGCAAAAGTGCCCGGGCTGGAATCAGGACGGTGGCGTCCAGCTCCACCTGCCACTTCCCGACCCGAGCCTGTGCCATCGTGACCTCTGCCCTGTCACCCTGTGCCACCCAAGTGGCACTGGAAGGACACCACAGCCTGCCGCGCCCTGGACCAGGCTGGCGCCCACAGCTGCCCAGCCGGCCACCGTGCTGCAGCGGCTCCCAGGAGGGCCCTCCTCCCGGGGCGCCCACGGCTGAGCCAGCACACGGGGCACAGGCTTCGACGGGAACCGGGGATACAATCCAGTCCGTGGCGGTGCGCGAGGAGGTGGCTCAGCCTCAGGAGAACCCTGCAGCCACCAGGCAGGGCTGGGGGGAGCCCCCATCGGCGGCCAGGCCCTCGGGCTGCGGTCCTGTGATCTCAAGTTCATTTCTGGTTTCCCAGGGCCTTTTCTTTACGCCTTCGATCTTA